GGCGAAAATCGCGCTATTTTTGACCTCCAGCTGCAAAAATCGCATAGTTTTATGGCCGTTAGCTTCAAAAATCGCGCGACTTTTGGCCGCTAGCGCCGAAATTTGCACGATTTTTGGCCGCTAGCGGCGAAAATCGCCCCGTTTTTGGCCGCTTGCGGCGAAAATAGCCCATTTTTTTGCCGCTAGCGGCGAAAATCGGTCGATTTTTGGAAGGTAGCGGCAAAATTAGCGCGATTTTTGCCTGCTAGCTGCAAAAATCGCATGGTTTCTGGCCGCTAGCGTCGAAAATAGCGCGATTTTCGGCCGTTAGCGGCAAAAATCGCCCGATTTTTGGCCGCTAGCGGCGAAAATCGCACGGTTTTTGGCCGCTAGCGGCGAAAATCGCTCTATTTTTGGCCGGTAGCGGCGAAAATCGCAATTTTTGCCCGCCAGCTGCGAAAATCGCATGGTTTTTGGCCGCTAGCGGCGAAAATCGCGCGGTTTTTGGCCGGTAGCGGCGAAAATCGCGCGATTTTTGCCCGCCAGCTGCAAAAGTTGCATAGTTTTTTGCCGCTAGCGGCAAAAATCGCCCGATTTTTGGCCGCTAGCGGCAAAATTTGCACGGTTTTTGGCCGCTAGCGGCAAAAATCGCCTCATTCTTGGCCGCTAGCGGCGATAATAGCCCCTTTTTTGGCCGCTAGCGGCGAAAATCGGTCGATTTTTTGTAGGTAGCAGTGAAATTCGCGCGATTTTTGCCCGCTAGCTGCAAAAATCGCATGGTTTCTGGCCGCTAGCGTCGAAAATAGCGCGGTTTTCGGCCATTAGCGGCAAAAATCGCCCGATTTTTGGCCGCTAGCGGCGAAAATCGCACGGTTTTTGGCCGGTAGCGGCGAAAATCGCGCTATTTTTGGCCGGTAGCGGCGAAAATCGCGATTTTTGCCCGCCAGCTGCGAAAATCGCATGGTTTTTGGCCGCTAGCGGCGAAAATCGCGCGGATTTTGGCCGGTAGCGGCGAAAATCGCGCTATTTTTGCCCGCCAGCTGCAAAAATCGCATAGTTTCTGGCCGCTAGCGGCAAAAATCGCGCGATTTTAGGCCGCTAGCCGCGAAATTCGTACGATTTTTGGCCGCTAGCGGCGAAATTTGCACGATTGTTGGCCGCTAGCGGCAAAAATCGCGCTATTTTTGCCCGCCAGCTGCAAAAATCGCATAGTTTCTGGCCGCTAGCGGCGAAAATCGCGGTATTTTTGGCCGGTAGCGGTGAAAATAGCCCCTTTTTTGGCTGCTAGCGGCGAAAATCGGTCGATTTTTGGCAGGTAGCGGCGAAATTCGCGCGATTTTTGCCCGCCAGCTGCAAAAATCGCATGGTTTCTGGCCGCTAGCGTCGAAAATAGCGCAGTTTTCGGCAATTAGTGGCAAAAATCGCCCGATTTTTGGCCGCTAGCGGCGAAAATCGCACGGTTTTTGGCCGCTAGCAGCGAAAATCGCGCTATTTTTGGCCGGTAGCGGCGAAAATCGCAATTTTTGCCCGCCAGCTGCAAAAATCGCATAGTTTTTGGCCGCTAGCGGCGAAATTCGCACGATTTTTGGCCGCTAGCGGCGAAATTTGCACGATTTTTGGCCACTAGCGGCGAAAATCGCCCCGTTTTTGGCCGCTAGCGGCGAAAATAACCCCTTTTTTGGCCGCTAGCGGCGAAAATCGGTCGATTTTTGGCAGGTAGCAGCGAAATTCGCGTAATTTTTGCCCGAAAGCTGCAAAAATCGCATAGTTTCTGGCCGCTAGCGTCGAAAATAGCGCGGTTTTCTGCCATTAGCGGCAAAAATCGCCCGATTTTTGGCCGCTAGCGGCGAAAATCGCACGGTTTTTGGCCGGTAGCGGCGAAAATCGCGCTATTTTTGGCCGGTAGCGGCGAAAATCGCGATTTTTGCCCGCCAGCTGCGAAAATCGCTTGGTTTTTTGGCCGCTAGCGGCGAAAATCGCGAGGTTTTTGGCCGGTACCGGCGAAAATCGCGCTATTTTTGACCTCCAGCTGCAAAAATCGCATAGTTTTTTGGCGGTTAGCGTCAAAAATCGCGCGACTTTTGGCCGCTAGCGCCGAAATTTGCACGATTTTTGGCCGCTAGCGGCGAAAATCGCCCCGTTTTTGGCCGCTTGCGGCGAAAATAGCCCATTTTTTGGCCGCTAGCGGCGAAAATAGGTCGATTTTTGGCAGGTAGCGGCGAAATTCGCGCGATTTTTGCCCGCCAGCTGCAAAAATCGCATGGTTTCTGGCCGCTAGCGTCGAAAATAGCGCGGTTTTCGGCCATTAGCGGCAAACATCGCCCGATTTTTGGCCGCTAGCGGCGAAAATCGCACGGTTTTTGGCCGCTAGCGGCGAAATTTGCACGGTTTTTGGCCGCTAGCGGCGAAAATCTCATTTTTGGCCGCTAGCGGCGAAAATAGCCCCATTTTTGGCCGCTAGCGGCGAAAATCGGTCGATTTTTGGCAGGTAGCGGCGAAATTCGCGCGATTTTTGCCCGAAAGCTGCTAAAATCGCATGGTTTCTGGCCGCTAGCGGCAAAAATCGCCCGATTTTTGGCCGCTAGCGGCGAAATTTGCACAGTTTTTGGCCGCTAGCGGCAAAAATCGCCCGATTTTTGGCCGCTAGCGGCGAAATTTGCACAGTTTCTGGCCGCTAGCGGCAAAAATCGCCCAATTTTTGGCCGCTAGCGGCGAAATTTGCACAGTTTTTGGCCGCTAGCGGCGAAAATCTCATTTTTGGCCGCTAGCGGCGAAAATCGGTCGATTTTTGGCAGGTAGCGGCGAAATTCGCGCGATTTTTGCCCGCCAGCTGCAAAAATCGCATGGTTTCTGGCCGCTAGCGTCGAAAATAGCGCGGTTTTCGGCCTTTAGCGGCAAAAATCGCCCGATTTTTGGCCGGTAGCGGCGAAAATCGCGCTATTTTTGCCCGGTAATCTGTCAACTTTCAGACAGTCGGAAAGTAATTAATCTCTTTTAAGAGATTAAAAGTTTTGAGTCTCTTTAAGAGTCAAAACTTGCCACATTACTTCAATAACTTAATTTCTTTTCTTTGGTTAATGGAATTATTTGATTGTCTTTGTTGAATATGATTAATATTTTCAAAACTTTCCTCGTTAAATATACTGTATGATGTATGTATCATTCTGTATGTATCATACAGTTCTGTATGTCCCAGTAACAAATTTGTTTTATATTTCCGTGGATATAAAGATATGCTCCATAGACATGATTTGAATACAGATTCTTGTATATGTCAGATGTGAGAATAAGAAAGGACAGAGAAGCAAGCACTATATCATTGGGAATACAGCTTCGTTAAGGGAGAGTTTCGTGTTTTAACCGAGTTATGAAACGAGCATCGTACTTTGGTTAACTGAGTTTTGCACCATTGAGGTTCAAGAATACGGATAAATTGAAGGCCTGTGTCACTGTTCCACTACTTATGAAATCATTTGTGGGTGATTTTGCGCTATGAACATTAATCAGAATCTTTTTGCAAAGTCTGCTTATATTATATAATTATTTTATAAAGCTGCTTATTATTTAATAATATAAAGCTGCTTATTATTTTATAAAGTCTGCCAGGGTTCTAGTCCCCTGGTGGGTGTGTTGTGAATGAATATTTATATCCATACATTCCATACATATAATATATATATAATATATATATATATATATATATATATATATATATATATATATATATATATATATATATATATATTATATATAATATATATATAATATATATATATATATTATATATATATATATATAAAGCTAGAAGATATATGTATACATAAATCCAGTTCGACAAAATTTTCATACAAGAAGGGGGGGGGACCTCGAATAGACCCCAGGCTTCCTGTTTCCGTTGAGGCCACTAGAGAGAGTGGCTCTCAGGTAAATTCAGGAAAATTCTTTAAAAACTGTATGTACGTTGTTTGTAGCCAAATTTGTCTTTTCTTTAAACGTATTGACGCGAATTTACCTGCTAAATAACCATTAGTATGTTGAAGAAGAATGAGTATATGATGTGGATAGGCGAAGAAAGCTGAAGACAAAAAAATAAACAAATATAATATACAGCTTAAATGCCTGAGATTTCTTTTTTATAATGATAAAAAATTCCATTTCATCTAAAAAATAAATTTGCAGATTATGTCTGCCGTCCAGAATTTCACGCTTTCTTTGAACTACATGTTTAGAAAACGTTAGTTATTTTATGGATAACTTCAAAACAGTTGGGCACCTTACGTCATTTGGTAAATAAATATAACAAATATAATAATTCCATTGTGTCAGGGGTCAGGAAGACAGTGAATTCATAAAAGGTAGACGTATATCAAGGTCAGGGCCCTCTCAAGGCAGAATTACTGACCCCGCCCAGGCTACAACCACCACAAGAAGCTGACTTACCTTCTGACTACCTAGTCACTGCTAAATAAACAGAGCCATTAGGTGAAAGAAAATGTGCCCAACCATTTCTGTCCCTCTGGGACTCAAACCTTGGATTCTCAATTGTGCGTCGCGAACGAACCCGACTACTACCGGGACAGATGGACACAATATCTTAGACTATTCAATAAAGATCATTTTCAGTTTAAAACTACATATATTGTTAGGTTTAATGTTTAAGTGGCCTTGACAGGGACAGTATGCCGGCGGTTAGCAAAGATATCCTCATTTGTTTTTCTGCCATTGAAAAGTAGTTTGTCATCCACTCCACTTGCTAGCTCAGTGAGAAAATTTATTTACTAATGCAATTCTTAAAACTATAAATTTGATAATATTAGGTAATAAATAATCTATTGTATCTGTTTGATTCGTTATGATGGCTTACATTTTATATTGATCTGATTGATACAATTAATACTGATCCACTTACACTTAGTAATTTAAGTCTCTTTACCTACCCCTCTGCAGATCTTGTCTGACTCTCTCTCTCTCTCCTTGTTCTGTAATCTTGACCCGATATAAAAGTTCAATAAAACCAATAATTATATGCGACTATATTCTACATAATCAACCAGACCATCATAGCCATCAACATAACTGTAGGCAGACACGAACAATTCAACTCCTCAAACATACTCTGTATATTGAGCACTGAGGCAGTGCAGTTTTCAGTGCCGTCTACAATGTGATTTATATAATATTAAAACAAACACAGTTTAGAGAGATGCCATAAATGTAACAGATGTATAGACTTTTGTACAAGAAGGGGCCGAGAATTGCGAGATCTGTTACGAGCTCAACAGCCCGATCACTTCAAGTCAAAATATACATCCAGTAGACGAAATTGAAGGCGGTAAAGTAGCATGGGATGAAGACCAGCGCCTGTGTGGACAGCTTCTCAGAGAGCTTCTTATTTCTCTGCTGCGCCGTTCCGCCTTCGGAGTGTAACCAGCCGGGTAGAGAAGCAGGGGAATGACTTGAGGAAGATGCTGTCTTGCGTAGCTTCTCTCGTTTATCTGCATGCACGCCAAGTGGAACGACTTTCACCGGGGAAGGGGGCTTGGAGGAGGAGCCGACGAGCTTCCCTTCGAGAGCCAAGTCGATTACGACGTGGTAGATGATAACGAAGAAGATGAGGGAGATGCTGAACAGCAACCACACGTCCACCATCTTGAAGTAGGAAGTCTTGGGAAGTGATGTTGATGTCTGTAAACGATAAGAATTAGGTTAGCATCACTCGCTCGAGGTAATGCAGTGGGATTACTTTGTTTACTTACGGGATACCTGGCTGTGCCCGGGTCGACCCCATACAATTACGTTATTTAAGTGTTTTAAACTATTGTCATTACCAGGTAGCATGCATACCATAACATATTTAACATAAATTTATATTATGGTCATAACATACATATTTAGATACATCTGAATATGCTATTAACTGCATGGTACCTGGTAATGACCAGGGTTCCCAACACGTAACTAATTTTATGGGGTCGTCCCGGGCTAGAAATTGACCTCGTGAATAAATTCTTGGGACTCTACCTGCAAAATTCCTTCGATATCCTTGGTGGTTTGGCAATGGGATTCGACTGCTTATTATAAGCATTAATAAAGCCGACCCTGACCCACCCATGTTGGTCACCTGCCTTTCACCAATCTCATAAACTTGAGTGAGGCTATCCTCAACCATCTGGCCTCCATCATTGGACATACAAAGTTATTCTCTATTTCCTATTCCGTTTTCCTTTAGTTTCTTGCAGTGTTAGCGAAATTTTAAAGTTAAACTACCTCCTATTTCTGCTCATTCCGGTCATACTAACATATTGGTCAGTAAGCTGTTTCGATGGTCTTAGTAACCTCCCAGAGGTAGACAGGCCTAAAAACCAACACCAGACCAAAAACACCTTTTTCTGATCCCAGTAATTGCTATACAAACACAAACGAAATGTTTTACAGAACAAAAAGAGCAAATATAGACTTTCATGATTAAGATATAAAATGTTTGATATCTCCAAAATCACAATTTTAAGTTGTTCGAAGAGCCAAAAGCATATCATGATATATAAATCACAGGAAATTCCTTTTGCTAGTTCTCCTCACCTGAGTGAAGAGAGAAGCGAGAACCAGAAGTACGGTCAACGCTGAGGCCACCCTCGTCTCGAAGTCGTCCCTCCTGAAGATTAGGGAGAGGTAGGCCAGGATGAGGAGGATGACTGTAGGGACATAGATGGAGATGATAGGATATCCCACTCGACGCTGCAGTACCACATCTACCTCCGCTTTAGCCAGTGTCTCGTTGTTGTCAAGTCGAAGTGATACACTCACAACCTGTTGAGTGCTCAGTAACTCATTACAGCACTATATGTTGTCTAGCAGATCTCTATCCCTATTCATGGTAGACAGAAGAAAATGTACACATGCTGCTTAAAATTGCATAAATGACTAGCAACGTCTGTCGAGTGGAAAAACCTATTTGTCGTTATTGCTCTGCGGTCACGCAACTTGAAGCTAAGGAGAGGTGATATGTGACTTTAGTCGTCAGCGTGCTGACACGTAACTGGATCGTGTATCGTCACTTCATTGTCTGATGACAGAGTTAGGATGCTCGCCCCTGTGCTCTGTACTCAATTCTAAGTAAATTTGTACTTGATGTCTCCTATTAGGGTCCGAACCACAGCTTAAGTACCAGTAATCGCGAGTGAAATAGCAGCATTAATGATCCAATCTATAGCAGACTACAGCAAGATTAATTTGTGACAAAACATAAAATGAGAGGTGTTCTCTGCCGAGCGGCTTGGTGATTGATGGAAAATACTGTCACCAACCCAGTTCTGGTCATCACTGACGAATGATCATATTCATTGTTATGCAGTGAAACAAGCCCCTGCAGTTTGTGCTAATCGCATATTGTTATGAACCTGTATTGCAAGATACTTAACATGAAGAAATGAAGTGAAATTCCCTGTCCACCATTACCGAGAGGTGAAACCATCTTAATCTTATAATTCAATCGTGAATTATAACAATTTTTTTCGTCTGTGTGAGTTGTAGGGTATAACGGGGCAGACCAGTACCTCACATTTCATTCAGTCAGATTGCTGTTACTCTGAAGCGCCGTGAGGGTTTGATGACCAGACCACACACTAGAAGGTAAAGGGACGACGACGTTTCCGTCCGTCCTGGACCATTCTCAAGTCGATCGACTTGAGAATAGTCCAGGACGGACCGAAACGTCGTCGTCCCTTCACCTTCTAGTGTGTGGTCTGGTCAACATACTTTAGTCACGTTATTGTGACTCATCGCCTGCAGCAAGTTAATTTTCAAACAATGTATTAAGTTGAGAGGTGCGTTTATTTTTATATTTTAAGCCGAGGATAGGCTCTAAATAATTAATCGGGAATGATATATTCTCCATTTACATTATCGATAAAATACCAATTGAGTATTGATGTATGTTTTTATAACAATTGTTTTCATAATCTGTTTGAGAAAAATATGTGCGATTTAGATAAAACATTCCACACTTAGCTAAGCTTCACACAGTATATCAAATATCATTAATCAAATGATCAAAATTTTTGGTGGCGTCTATTTTTTGATAGCGATAATGCACACTTGAGAAACTTTTTTTATAATAATAACAGTGCTATAATTTAATTAATGGCTTACACACCAACAAACGTTTGCATTGGAGATTAGCCAAGTGAGGCGAGTTCATGATTAAACCAACTACTTTTCTTCCTGTTTATTCTATCTTTGAATCTTATTATTGTTTGCTTTAGCAATTAATATTTCTGCTACACTGTTGGTAAATCAATATATGCCTGAAATGCACAATTCAATTCTTCTTTTCAGTTAATCAACTATTTTAGCAGATACGTCCTTTGACCACCCCATTATTGGCACCTCTTTCTTTGAGAATCAAGGGGAGAAAGTGGTTAATCCTTGAAGTTATTGCATTGAAAGATGACTACTGTGAGTGTACATTTCCGACTTGTGGTTATACTTGTGTGTTCCCTAATATTTACAATTTATTCTCCACAAGCCTGTACCAAAAAGCAAAACGTTTACTTAGATTAATCTATCCAAATTATATTCAGTGAAAGGGGTACTACTTGATCATAGAGAAGTTGGACAGGTTCTTACCAAAAAGAAGACCCACTACTTACAATGCAGAATACCCCCCCTACTCACCATAAAGTAGATCTCGTACTCACCGTGTACTCAATCAGCAGCTCAGCACCGACGTAGGAGACTGAAGACGAGTTCGTATCCAGCACCAAGAAGTCCGTGGCAGCCGAGAGGACTTCGAGGTTCAAGAAGCAGCGTTGCTCGTCGAAGGGGTACAGGTGGAGGTTGAGGTCACACAGGAACTGCGAAGTGTACTTCCGCTCCACGCTCAGCTGGTTCTCCATCCCCAGGTATACGTCGACTGGTGGAGGACGAGGTGTTAGGGTCATATTGACTGGTGGAGGACGAGTTGGGAGGGTCATATTGACTGGTGCAGGACAGGGGGGTGGGAGGTGGACCACGTGAATATTTAGATGAAAGGCTGCCTTGTTGAATGGTTTGTTAGTGTGGTTGCTAGTTGCCGTTTGCTAATGCAGTTGCTAGTACTGTTGCTAGTGTTACTAGCAATGTTTACTACTGATGTTGCTAGTACTGTTTACTACTGATGTCGCTAGTGGCATTGTTAATTTTATAATAGATTGCATATTGCAAATTTTGGCTCTTAGTATTTTTCATTAACATTAATAGAGATTTTTTGTGGTATATAAATATATTACCGTTACTATTTACATTACAATTCGTGATGCGTATTGGTGAAAATCTTACTTGAATAAGGAAATGAGGATGTTGCAAATGCAATACAGATACGAGAATCACACATGACTTTTTTTAGATGAAATAAAGTATGTGATCAGTTTGATGTCATGGTTTTGCAGAGTATTCGTGAAAGGTAATCTGGAAGGGGAAATTGGAAAACTGAGAATTATATAGAAATCTGAAAAGAGGTTTTAAAGTTATGTGCAGAAAAAGAAAGTTTTTAATTACTAATATACTTGTGTTTATCAATGAGTAAGCATCATAGGTACATAGTGGTTAATGAAAGATTTGAAAAGTGTGTAATAGTCTTTTACAAGAGACAGGCGTGATACAGTATGCAAAGTGTAACGAAAGCAGGACGAGGAATATCTATATGTCTGTCTCTTCAGAGGATTAGAACTCAAAGGATTAGACTGAATAGTTAATTGATGAACTAGCTACTCAAGGATGCTCAAGGTAAAAAATACATATAGGTTGAGAGGTTAAGAGACCGAGTTAATTGATTAGCATTAAATGAGTTGTTTGTGATCATGGAACAAAGAGACTTTGAATGAACTTTAGTGACATTTGGTTTGTATTCGTGGAGTATTTGTGATGTAGAATGCCTAGAGCATGTGATCACGAGGTAGAAGGATGACAAAGAGCGTTTGATGGAAAGAGGAAGAAGCAAGAGCTCTTATTGATGAAAATAAATGGATTCAGTGGATACAAAGTAAACTTAAAAGAAGCGAATATTCAGACGAGGAGTCACATTAACGTGGCTGAAATATGTTGACCAAACCACACTAGAAAGTGAAGGGACGACGACGTTTCGGTCCGTCCTGGTCCATTCTCAAGTCGATTGTGAAATACACAGTGTCATAGACACTATTACTGTCATAGTACATTTGAATTATATACTGTCACACACACAGTAGTTCCATCGATCCATCCAACAAACAAACTAGCCCCTCAGTCCCTGTCCCCTTCCTGCTCACCATCTTCCGGGATAGACAGGTCGTCAGGCAGAGGGTGTCCCTGGCGGTGGATAGTGAGGATGGCCTCATTGTCCACCAGCGTCCTTTCCGTCCCCCTCACGTTGACCAGAGTGAGCGTTGGAGTCCACAGGCTGTCGTACTCCGTCACGGGAACCTGCTCATATAAAACAAGAGGAAGGCAAGCGCTGAGTTTATGCTTGAGCTGTACGTAAACGTTTGGAAGGAAGAGATGGAGAACTGGGAACGAAGACAAAGAAAGAAGAAAGTATCTTTGAAGCAGGCCGGCGGAATCGATCTATCGTTCTGGGTCTTCTCAGACATGCAGACTATAGTGAACAAATCCAAATCTTTTCTCTCGCCTTTCCCTTTTCACTAATTTTAATGGTTAGTAATTTCAAAGACCTGACATAGCCTGCAGAATTACTAAAGCAAAAATAATGAAATTCAACCAAAACTATTGTGTTAAAAAGAGTGCTTTATCTAATACCATAAATAATAAAAACAAATAAAGCTAACACTAAGTTAAAGAATTATAATAAACGATAGTATTTTAAGGTAATTCTCATATCTTGTATTCACCTGATTGAGACGTGAAGCATTCTTGAGATTCTGGAAACGAATACGTAGGTCCCACCAGGTGAGGTTCAGGTGGTAGGTGACATCCAGGTAACTGTCCTTGTCACTTAAGGAGAGGCTCACCAACTTAAGTTTAAGGCCCACAGGCAAGGGAGTGCCTGGAAGAAACACTGAGAAGTTATATAAACTCCAAAGAAGTCATTTGTAGCGAAAATGTTTTCTTGGTAATATTGATCAGGATGATTGAGTTACAATGTGAAGAGGGCTGCTCTTTGAAACGAAGCAATGCATAGACCATATTAATAAACTACTCATTATTAACATAACCAACCCTGATGTCAGCCTAATTAACATAATTACTGACTTAAGAAATTGAAATTGGACAAATTCTACTTTAAAATGCAGAAATCTTAATCATTACTCCAAAGAAAACACAAGTTAATATTAAATGCAACGATCGGTATAAAAGTATTGATGCAAGGTTTTCAAGATCAATATGATCTCCCATAATAAATTGCCACGACGATAAACAAATTTCAAGTAAAACGCCATAACACAACACAACAAATTATCCTCGTTCGTGCCTCGCAAACACCACCTAACTGAACGAACGAGAATTGTCGTCAGTGACCACAAGAAAGATCTACTAACCAGCAATTCTGTTTGGAGGTGGAAGACTGTGGTGGTAGCCGAGTGGTCGATCAACCAGACGACACTCCTGCTCGTCGCTTCCGTCCAGACAATCTGGACGACGGTCGCAGCGCTGGAAGCGGGGCACACACGAGCCGTCCTTACACGTGAAGTCGTGATTCGTGCACGAGCTTAGCTGAAGGAGTTGTGTTCCATTATTATCACAGACTTCGTCAATCACGGTCCAGTTTCGCCTCCCCATGGGCCAGCGTGCCTCGCGGAAAGGTAATCGAGCCACGACTTTGTTGGCAATTACGTTTCTCCAGGTCCAAGATTCATCCTCCTCTACGATTTCGTATTGGTAGTAACCCCGAAACACCACCTTACCTTGCGCCGGATGCAGCAGACTATACTTGTAGTTGGCCTTGTCCTCCTCGCAGGGGCCTTTGAGCGTCCATTCCCTCTGGGACTCTAGAAAACACATGGCTTCCATGGTAATATGGCAAGGATAATCGTGTAAGTAATCCGAATCAAGGGCGAGACAGTTTTGCCACTTAAGCCCATTGGGATCGTTGCTACCCCACTTGAACCACTTTTGTTCCTCTCCAGTGTGTGTGTTTATGTAGACGCCCTCCTGAAGCTCATCCGTGGCCCCCAGCCAGATGAGTTTGATCACGGGCGGATCAAACATGATTCGCAGCAGCTCTTTGGCGTGGTCGAGAGACTGAGGAACAGGCATATAACCCCCAAGACCAGCACAAAACTTACGAGCGTTTTCGAATGGCATGGGAAGGAATTTAATATATGATGATTTGCTCTTCTTCTCGCAAACCTCATACTCGGGGACCTCGATGAAGGAGGCGTTATTGAGGATCCACTCGTGATTCCAGGGGATGGCGAGTCCTGGGGGATCGGACCCACAAGATGCAAGCTGAGACACCTCTGCTGGTGCCAAGGTTCGCCCCCATACACCAGCCTGTGTAACTTGTCCGCTGAAGCTTCGAGTCTTTGTGTACCCGCTGAGGTAGTTGATGCTGTACTGGCCAAGTACCATTGTGGCCTCGGAAAACCACCTGTAATATAAAGTAATTTGAAATTTATTGTCACATCAACGTTGCTTGTATTTCGGACCAGTGTACCCTATATAAAATATTCCGTTTTAAAACTAGAGCCACCAACTTTTTTAGTATTTTAAGCTGAATTTGTGTACCCAATTGCTAATCTCTCAGTTCTTTTCGTTTATGTATTTCCTTGGCAACTCCACATTTGAATTACACGAGTTGTCGTCATCATTCTTGTACAGAATGTCTTTTCTTGATGTTTATTGCACCATATATTGGAATTTATAAATAAAGTTTTCATAAAAATGACTGGCATTTTTTGTATTTTATTTTGATAAAGACTTTGCTGGCTCTTATAAAAATTTACCGATTCTTATAATTTCAATTCCTAATGACAAGATTATTTTCTTCAGTGGAAGAAGAAATTAAGGGATATTAGAACTTTGATAACTGCGCCCAATAAGGTGATATAGTAGGTGAATATGGAAAAGTTTGAGATAAAGAGAGAGAATAATAGACATATGAGATAAGGAAAAGAAAGACAATGATGGGCACCATTGTTCCCTCCCCACCTGGTGGTATTCCTGGAGATGATGCCCTGGAGCTGGCCATCGAGGTAGGCAGCTATCTGGGCGACGGAGTGGTTGTAGGTGAGGCAGTAGTGGTACCAGGTGAGCACCTGTAGGGGCTCAGAGATACCCAGGAAGTAGAACGCCGCCGACACGATAGGACGCACATAGTCCACGAAGATCTCTGGCAAGGGACAAATTCGAGATTTAGCCATAGGAATATTACAACAAATGTTTACTCACAGGCCTAACTAACAAACCGGGACTATTAAACTTTCGTCTTTTAACCCTCTAGATAAAGTTACTAAAACTAAAACACAGTTATAGGATATGTAGTAAGTTTGAGGTATGTTTAGACAAACTTAAAGAATGCTACAGAGTATCTAAGATAAACTTGTTCCTCGTAGTTTAAATATGAATTCAATGTTCTAGATATTTATTTTCTCGCGAGAATACTAAGAGAGAAAAAATAAAGACATCAAATTATCTCAGGTACCAGAGAAATATATATTGCTTAAGAAACGGAATAATTGTTTTTGTATTTTTATTCTTACGATACAAAATGAACGAACAGGAAAACATGCAAGAAGAAAGAGTCTAGTAGTCATGATGAATAGTGCATAGCTTTCGTGAAATAAAGTTTGCTCAGTGTACAGATAAATTTGTGGGAAATTTTTACCCACCATATCTAATAATCATCTAAGAAATGTATAATTTCTATATCATATCTAAATCATATCAAAATCATATCTAAATCGTATCAAAATCATATTTGAATCATTAAAGATTCATTATAGCTTGATCCTGGATGACAATGGCACCATGAACACGTACGCAACAGGGGCCCTTTTGATGCCTACGTGACTTTGTACATGATTTCTCAAGGATCCAGAAGCTTCTAGAAGGACTTCTTAATTAAAAAACTATTGGAACATTGATTCAACATCCGGTAGGATTAAAAATCGAATCCTTAATAAGAATCAGTGGTACTTTCAAATACTACTTATAATCTTTATATCCTATATCTAATTATATTATAATCACATCTTATCTTAATCATAAGTCTAGACTGTAAAAATAATCAATCAATATTCATTGAAGGCTACCGTGCTCAGAGAGCATGGCAGGGCGATGGGGGGAGTGAAGCGCCCACCAACAAGCCCAGCGGCACTCCGCGTTTGTTTACAAATGAGTGAACAAGTGACTGATCCTTAGCGAACATTACCAGCTCAAGGACTCCTTATCTAATATTTTTTATCGCCAGTGAATACTCTCTAGAACTGGGGGAGTACCTGGACAATATCTACAAGGAAAATCCGTGAACATTCACATAAAATAGAGTGTATAGTGGAGATCAGCGACACGGTTTCCTCCACCTTCATTCATAAACTTTTATCTCGAATCATTCTTCTGCAACTGCAGGATAATCACGTAGCAACGCTACCAGATCATCATACAGCAACGCTGTAGCAAAATATCGTGCCTAAACTCAACAAGAGAGAGTTAATCAGTCTGGCAAACTTGTCAGACAGGCACCCCGACTGGCAGAGAAGTATATTGAGGGTTATTTGGTGTATGATTGGCCAATTGTATGCTTGTGTAACTTTAATATCCTATAAATCTGTCTGTTTGTTAAAAAGCGAGGCAAAGCCTCATTCATCGGTACGTTTATTAAAATTGTAGTGTAGCTGTGAATCTTATCCAAGCACTGAACCTCATGGGTGTCCATTGTGTCAGAAAATAATTCAGCCTCAATAAGTAAAAACCTCACAAGTGTCCATAGTTTGGAAAAGATTCAGTCAAGCTAACTGTATAAACTGAATATGTCTGCATATATATTTGAATATATAAATTAAGTTATCAATTGCTTGCTTAGTTATTTATAAGTTATCATATAAGTTCATTTAATTGAATAATTTCTAGTACTAAGTTAATAGTATTAAGACTACATTTAAGGTCATTTATTATACTTTTACAATTTAATTTGTTGTTTATAGTATAAGTACATATTGGCTGTTAAGTTATGGTGCTAGGTTAGACTATGTATGTTTAAATCCCTGATTTAAACAGAGCCAGTGTTCAGTCAGATAACTGAATTTATCAAATCTTATCCTTGTATAAAATACAAGCTGATGTGAGATCCCTGTCTACAGGTGGATTGGAACTTCTATCAACATAGTCATTCACCCCACCTGTCCCTTACAGCCCACAGTTTGTCATTAGGAAAAGAGGATTTAGGATTTACAACCCTAGCTAGAGATTTTAATTGAATTAATTTGCAGACAGTAATTTTTTAATTTAGTTCAGTACAAGTCCCTGGTAGTCTCCTCTTATATCAATCCCAGCAGGTTTTTCCCACAAAATTTCACCAACACCTTATTAAATGATTACAACAACACTAAAGCACCTGGTTAAATATACAGGCACCTCTGCTACCTCAGATCACAACCCAACTAACCCACCTAACCTATCGAATCTGATACATAGACAAAATAGATATTTGTGAGCCGTAACTTTTCACAGTAGGTAACATTTGTAACGTTGGTTACCAAAACTTTAAAAGAGAGACAAACACTTATTAGTTGAGAGGACATCAGTCAATCAACACACCCTCACCTATATTGATCCCCCACACACACTCACCTCCGTTGATCTGCAATACACAGCTACACTTCCGTTCATCTCCCACATACACTTTCTCACCTCCCATGCCTCGTTCATCTCCAACATAGACAGCCTTACCTCCATTCATCTCCCACACACACAGCCTCACCTCCATTCATCTCCCTGGTCTCCTCACGGGAGGCGACGGAGAAGACATGTGTCAGGGGTCTAAAGAAGAACACCTTGAACCTAATGCAGGCGGAGGTGGAGGGTGTTCGAGGGGAAATCCGTGTACTCCGAGCCCATGTGGAGTCACTCATAACGCCGTCCTCCTGCAGCGTCAACACCCTCAGACACTCACACCTCGCCACCAATACACTCACACCTGTGAATATAAAAATGTTTCTGTACCTTTGAAGTTGAGGCAAAAAACAGAAATAACTGAACAATATAATAAGATATTGCTGGTTGTCTACCCTTGAAAATACTCCAACAAGAGACGCCAGCAAGAGATCGTAGCAAGGAACGTCAGCATGGGATGTCAGCAAAGGACGTCAGCAAGGTACGTCAGCAGGGCTCATCTAGAAGGGAACTCTTTACAGATTTTAATTTGTTTACAGATTAAAATTCACCACATGTTATTACGTCATTGTTAGTCCTTGCGTAATTTCTCAATATGCTTAACATAATATATAATGTTAGGAACCCGAAATATAAGATGTTGGAAACCAAAAATATACAATGTTAGAAAAACAAAATATATAACTAGAAACCAAAAATACATCCATAATGTTAGAGAAATAAAACAGTGTTAGAGATCAAAAATATGTCACAGGCGCAAAATATATTGTTTTATATTTTGTAAGACATTATATAACAAAATCATAATTAAAAAAAATAAAAATTATTGAAACTTTATATATTGTTAGTAGCCCTCCATACATACTGGTATTAATACATTTTATATACTCTTAGTAACCTATGTATACTATTAGTACCCCTCCAAATATGCAGAAAGTATGACTCCATATATTCAGTAACACTCCACGAATACTATTAGTACCCCATCCATATATGCCATTTGTAACCCTCCATAAGTGCTGTTAATAAGTCTCATTGTATAATTAGAAACCCCTCTGATACTGATAGAAACCGATATACGACATAACATGAAGACCAAGCTTGTTGGTCTTTACAAACGTCCTGCGTTATTAATAATGATCTTTTTGGAACAAATTACATATCTCACCCCGAAATTTCTCACCTAAAATAAGAATCCAAGTCGTCTCTATGTTATTTATTTGAAGAAATTCAGCAAGCGATTTGTGTGGCATAGTTACTGCGATTTTAGGGTTTGTAGGTTGATGTTGGTCTTGAGGCCTATTAGTCCCCTGTGTTAGTAAATACTTAGTAAAGATAGTAACGTTCAAGACAGGAGTAAAATTCAGAGTGTCGAGTTTAGCGAGCTCCTCGCCATATATATATGCCATGGCTGAGAGGAGGGGCAACGAGTTCTTCTAGCCAATGAGAGTCGCTTTCAGCTGTGACGACACACCGAGGATAGTCTCGATAGTAAGGTCATCCAGTTATAACTAAATTAAGACTAAGAAGCAAAACACCACACACACACACACACACACACACTGTGTCTAAGAGCGTCTCTATGAGCTATAGAGACGTTAGAAAGAATTTTCGCAGTGTCAGAGTAGTAGACAAATAAAATTCACTAGGCAGTGATATGGTGGGAGCAGACTCCATACACAGCTTCAAATGCAGATATGATAGACCCCAACATGCCCAGGAACCTGTACACTAGTTGATTGATGTTTGGGAGGCGGGATCAAAGAGCCGAAGCTCAACCCAAGCAAATACAACTAGGTAACTACATACACACACACCCCAAGAAGATGAACATCAAACAGTCAACAACGGTGTATGCTAGGATGGCAAACATAAAAACTGCCTTATGGAATCTTAAGGAAATATAGTTGTATATATCACGTACGTCAGACCAATTCTCTAATATGGAGCGCCATCGTGACTGCCTAGTATGAAGACAGTATTGTTAAATACAAAACTAGGCTTAAGAAAGTTTAAAGGAATGCAACCAGACCACTCCGGAAATTCTCGGGGAAAAAACAGATTTCTAGAACGACTGGTACACAAACTAGAGAACACAGACCAAATTCTGTGCTCATATTAGCTCGAGACATTATAAATAATTTATTCAATGCCAAAATAATGAATAAGTGACATGCACTTCGGGGAAAGAAGAGGAAGCAAACTCCATTCACAGCTTATGATGTACAAATTAGAGCTCAATAGATTCAGGAACTTTGATATCCTTCAGTTGAATATTGAGAGGCAAGACCGAGGAGCTAAATCTCATCTTGTGCGCTTTAAATCCGAAAACATCAAAATAATTCAACATTCAAAAAATCACAAAGAAATCACAATGGCGTAATATATCGGTGAGAAAATAATTTTAAGGCAATTTGAGAACTTGAACCGATGTTCAATTGATTCCCACATACCTGCCTTAACTATCGTGACTGAATGGGTTAAGGCAGGTGTCTGGGAATCACCAGAACGCTTGTTCAGTTCAACCCATTGCCTCAAAATGGTTCTTTCCTTGAATTACTTATGAAATAAATTGTTTTCTAAGCGTCGTGTATCTGTTTTGTTTAGTAAATACATTTTGTGATTTTAAAATCTCAAAAGGAGTGCGATAACAGGGAGATCCAGACAAATGCACTATCCAGTCCTCTATTTAATCCTACTCATAAATTTTATTCATATTTGTTATTATGAACGTTCACAACAGCTAATTAAATTATAATGCTCTGTGTTTGTCAACATATTGAACTTACAAGTTTAATGGAAGAGGACACGGAGAGGGAGGGAGGGGAGAGAGAGAGAGAGAGAGAGAGAGAGAGAGAGAGAGAGAGAGAGAGAGAGAGAGAGAGAGAGAGACACACACACAAGCAGACAGAATGAATAAAGCATTTTCTCCCAAATCCATTCCTTAAGAATTGAGAAAAGCGTCAGACTGAAAAATTGAACAAAAAAGAATTTGCAATAAGGCCGCAAGCCCTTTCCATATTGAACACGAGCTGCTCATCCATCCTTTGAACCATCCTTACGTTTCACCCGCCTTTAGAAGCCACAGAGTTTCCATCAAATGAATTTCTACTTCAAATAAAGACAAGCAAGCCAGCCAAGAATCTTACAGATCTATGGATATTCACGTTTCTTCTAGACAGCAGTGGATATAAAACCTCACATGAAGTGCGATATCCGAATCTATTCAAAACCATTTCACATTTATTGCACGCATGCATCATAGATAGAATACAAGGAACGAAGGACGAGAACATTTGAACAGTATCCGGAAGCAATCATCCGATTCCAATCGCCGAAAGGTGGTCACACTGAGCATAGTTCCATGTTACCGAGTACATACTACAAGTTAATGGAGCAGACGGGAATAAGAAAAACCAATCACTCAGGAAGTTAATAATAATCAGCTTTTGCGAATGTATTAAATCAATTCAGTTAATCAATATTCTAATGTCAGGTGACATTTTTAAAACTAACGAGGCAAGGTAGGTAATTATTCCGAGACAGCGTTAAACCAGTTTCACTTTTTATAAAAATACAACAGACAATGAGCTGGGAAATGAGTACACAGTGAAGGAAAGGTACCCAGGCACCTGCACACCATGGAGGAATCCTCCGAAGACCCTGCAGGAAGCGAGGCCGAACCTCTACCGATTAGATTTGCCGAGAAAAGGAGTAAATATTTGAGAAATTAAATACCGCAGGTGCTGAAAAGTGTATCAAAAGGACATTTACCTTAAATAGCACGTTTGAGGACTGTTTGGCTTTCAAAGGGATTATATTTACCTTCAAAATGTATACACATACATACACGTGCATACATACGTTTCGCATCCGTTTCTGGCGTTTCGCAAACCCTGTCTTTGATTCGAATCCTAACCGGGGAGGATTGACCGGGCGCCAATCCTTAACTGTAGCCTCTGTTCACCCAGCAGTGAATAGGTACCTGGTTGTTTAACTATTCAGCGGGGTCGTATTCCGGGGAAATTGGGATTAAGGACCTGCCCAAAACGCTACGCGTGCTGGTGGCTTTACAAGAATGTAAAACTTGTATAATAGCTGGCCTAAGGCGGCCTTAAAAAGCTTAAGTCTGAAACTTAATAAAAATTGCATAAAGGATTATTAGAAGATAAACGAAAGACGAAGAATATGACCGAAAGCGAAAAATAAGGAAAGACGAGAAAATATATAATTTACAAAAAAAAAAACACATTAAGAAGAATACAATAGTTATTCATACTAAGTATCATTTTCTTAGATTTAGTCGACTGAAAGGAGAAAACCTTTCATGGTAAACTAAACTATCAGTCTTGAATGAATCTAACCAATAACAATACAATACAATTTTATTTAGGTAAGGTACATACATACAATAAATATTTACAAGGATTGTTTGACTTATAGGTAGAGCTAGTACATACAATGCCTAAAGCCACTATTACGCAAAGCGTTTCGGGCATAAATAACGAGAATGAAGCTCCTCATGGTGTATTAGAATGACACAAGAGACCAACGTACCTCCTATATTCTCCTATTCAGCAATAGTAGGATGAAAGTGAGGGGGTGCTGGTGTCCCACTGCCGTTAGCTGTGCCCCGTCAATGACGCGATGTTACGGCCCTACTGGGACGCAATCGGGTTCTTCTCTGATGGTATTAGAGTTTGGGTATCCGGTCCCAAGTTAGAAGCTTTCAAGGGGTGTGTTCCGTAACGCAAGTTAAAATCAACAAGGAAGGTGCATTAAATATACAAGATTAGCACTTTCCTCTATATATATATAATTTCCACCACCATATATGAATAAAAAGTCACACGGAATTATTACTACACAACTATATACAACTTCGTCTTCCTCCGAAGACACTGGACACTCGGCGACGCTTCCTCTGGGTAGCCTTTCCTGGTCTCTTCCTTCGTGGCCCAGAACCCACGATGAATCCACCCTGGCCACAGGCCAGCCAAACCACAATCCCACTGGGTGCCTCGTCGTGATGGCCTACAACCACGGTCCAGCCTCAGCTTCGCTGTCAGGCCACTCCTCGACTAATACTAGGATTGCGAGCCCTAGGCAGGAGCCTCGTGTGACTCGCTGGTCACCCTCCTCAGTCGTCACCTCAGTGGGTGATCTCTTCCACCATCCAGCCCCGGATACGGCGAATCCCGTTACTGCCAAAAAAAAAAAAAAAAAAAAAAAAAAAAAAAAAAATCAATCCGTTACTGCCACTCCTCAGGCAGGCAATTATACACTCAGCAGAGTTCGTCCGGAGGTAGCTCACAGCGTCTACAAAGGAGACTAGTGACGAGACCTTGGCGGCCTTGGGTAGACTGGTTCCATGTACGTCCCAACCGTCCTAGGTTGACTCTGAAAACAGACACGTCATCGGTACTGGGGACACTACATGGGACCACTAGGAAACATCACTTACTAGCTTAGACACAAACGTCCGCCCCCCTTCGCTCCATAGATGGCGTTCACTGTCCAAGCGCCACCTCACCAGAGGTCAGCAGCGGCTACGTCACGAGCTGACTAGGACAGGAATCCAACACTTATTGCTGGCATTTCCTGTCACTACTAGATGGCGTTGTCCATGTTGTGGGGTTTTCGGGAGCGGACTCACAGATGGCGTTGTCGTCACTGCTCCGTGCTCCGACGATGGACTCGGGTCCGTAACACGCGACTACCCTGGAAACACAAACCGAAACTGTCTCTATTTTCCGCTTGTTAAAACTTGTAATAAAGTTGTTACATCTTGGCTTAACGTGTTTATGACGTATTAGAACGTTGTTACAACTTGCTATATTGGTTGTTATAACTGGTTAGGTGGTGTTAAAACTTGTTCGAACGTTGTACCAACGTCGTAGTTTCGGTGTGTGTTTGGCGGGATATGCCCTTCCCTCAAGGGCAATCCCTTTCTCTTTAACTCCCTAGGGAGGAGGCCGGACGCATCACCACGCATATGACCTGGAGAAAGGGATGAGTTCTTTCGCTTGGGGGAATAAAGGTGACTTTCATTTGGGTGCGTGAGGGAAAGACCTTCCCTCTGGGGTGCTTAGGTCCCCAACATCTGGGGGTCCAGGAGTGAGGACGTGGGACGTTCAATTTTATTTAAATCAATTAGATTGACTATTTATAGGGAAGTAAATAAAATATACTGAAAGAATACAATGCAACCAACTCGAGCGAAGCCTGAACCGGTGTCATATATGGAGATGATTGTCAGGGTCGTCTGGCTGCTGGGTCTCCGACAGACCGCTAATGGGAATCAGTACGTGGTGTTGTGACTGTGTGTGTGTGTGTGTATTTACTATTTGTGAGTG